ATAATAATAATAATAATAATAATAATAATAATAATAATAATAATAATAATAATAATAATAATAATAATAATAATAACGTTATGTTTAAACTAATGGGGTCCACTCTACCAGAAGACTTTTAGAAGAAATATCATCAATGCCTGTTCTCTGTGTTCAATTTAATGGTGAGTTAAAATTTTTATTTGTTGATTGCAACTATTTGTCATATTATAGGAGGTAAATACCGAATAAGCGGCCAGCAAATATGCGACCGATAGTTTTTCTATCATGGAATTCGATATACCGGAAGAACCTAAACTGACAAAAGTAGCGGCAAAGATGTTATCATTGCGGGTAATTAATTTCCTAATTAGTATTGGTGTACTCTGCTATCCATTGATCTTGCGTTGGTAAAGAAAGTGCTGACTATTATTTAGATGACGATAATGACTGGCATTCGCCACTGCAGTTGAAAGTTTGTCGTTGATAGTTAACATTCAGTTTGATTTTCGTCTTAAGTGCTATTACCGCAGCAACGTGAGATATATAACTGCATCAGAGAAATAAAGTTCATGGTTTGCTTCATGTATGCTAAACCAACCGCCAACTTGTATATCTTGATATGAATAACATTAGCTAAATATTTAGCGTCCAAGCGATCAATGTTCTACTATTTTTTTTTTTAGTATTGAAGTCTCGATAAATTTGTGCTCTCCCAAACCACAATTGAATTGCGGGACTGATAGCTTTCTCTCCTTGTACTACATTTCTGAGGGTAATATTAAATTTAGGTTTAATATTAATCGATCAGGTGCGTCAGAGGATCATTTTACCATGTGACTCGCTTATCTGTTCACTTGATTTGTTGCGCATAATAATAATGTACAAGTAAAAATTATATTCGAAGCATTAAGAACCAACACATCCATGAAGAATAGTCTCGTAAACTCCATAACGCCAGGACTTGATGTAAATCACAAAATGGTCTTAGCGTCAACCAATGCTCATCCAAATTTGGCAATCAGTCAATGCTAACCTTATTTGGAATCAATGATGTCTAAAAAGGCTATCGTAAGTCGCCCCTGCAAATTCAACGTATAATAGTATTAACATTTCCTGATGCACATCATTTTACCTAATTGATAAACTTGCTTCATTTACGATTTACGATTAATGACATTGATGCAAGAAATCACGATACACGTCTTACGAATCACGAGATCGGAAAAGTTTGTTGGTAATTGAGCACCAAAAAGTATAAATACGATGCAAGATTTGCTAGTAAAACATATTAATATACCATTTTTGAAGCTAAAAATTGTAGTTTTAATTGAGACGTATCAGTAATTTTAAGATATTACTGTGAAAGCTTCACTTACAGAATCAACATTAATGATTGTATATATACTGTATCTTTAGCGAATGTGTATACTAATACGATAATCGTTAATATTTTAAAATTGCCGATAAAACTACAATTATTTAGCTTCAAAAATTGTGTATATTTTGTTGCGAGTTTTAGTAAAATTTATTATTTTATATGTTTTATTAGTAAAATCTTGTATAGTATTTATATTTTTGGCAAGGGTGTGCGTGTATTTCCCGGATTAATTGCCGTTCTCAAACACACCGTAGCAATCAATGGCTGTCGGACTTTCATCGTTGTTTATTACATAAACGAATCTTGTCCTTTTATCAATACGATCGTAAGCTACCTCGAAGTTGGAGCCCTACTGAAATATAAGATAACTTGCGTCCATGGAAGAGCGTCAGGTAAAAGATTGATACCTTGTCTTCTCACTACTTCAAAGTTTAACTTCCGGAGCTCATTGCAAACGACTTCCGTTTCCCAAACGTTACCAATATATCTGCGCGTCTGCATACATACATCCTTTTTCTTACAGCGACTTTGTGACGAGGTAATCCCCAAGCTTAAAGTAGCCTGCTTAAGAAACTGTTTACGGGAAGCTAGTGAAAAAGTTTCTGGAAACAAAGCCGAACTCGCACAGCGTTTGCGAGTTGCGTTGCTGAAACGAAGGCCCGGCTCGAGTGACTATGAAGCAATAAAAGCAACCATCTACGCCTACGCTAAAATACCGTATGTTACTTAATAGTGGCTAGAGAAATATGCTTTCATTCTTTTAAACTAATTACTGGTTTGCGAACAGCGAGTGTTCCACCCACGGACAATTAATTATACGTGCATTTCCAGGTACTTTGCATTTATTCTTGTGTCTTGTAAAATAGTGCGAAACATCCGTTTATGTCGCCTCTCTCATATGCGTCTATTTGGACGGTCTTGTTCAGATTACACTCAGACATCTATGAACTCTACAAGAGATATTATCATGTTTCAACCCTCACCCTTTTTCGAAGTGTTGGACAGAATCTCGGAGATAAGCCATTGCCCTGGTAAGTTGATTGAATGGTTAATGGGTATTAACCGGGAGTTAAGTTAATGAGCTTTCACTGTTTCAACAGCATCAGATAATAATGCAAGGGCGTCGGTCGAATTTAGGTTGACGAGGAACGTAATAGATAAAATACGCGAGTATGTTAAAGTTTAACAGATATTAACACAAAGCCTGAATTCACTTACTGATTTCTTTTTTCATAATCTTATCTGTATAGTCGGCACACGAGCAATTGCCAATTGTGTTTATTTTGCTGTTCAGATATTGATTTCTCTCCACAACGGAAGTCAGAGTATGCTCTAATGGAATTTCCTCAACGATGCGAAGTTTTTGTCAACAACAATCGATTGGGTGGTGTATGTTGATTATACTCAATATTATTTTAAGGATTTTACTTTATGTAGTTTATGTTTGCAATAACACTTTTATATCCTGCAGGATTTGAAAGGTTTGAAAAATCGTCCAGGGACAGTATCGCCACCCAATATAACACATTTGGTTGCACTGGACACGTCGACTTTGAATAAAATCGAAATGGTTTACGACAAAACAACCAAGGTAGTAAGTATTTGAAGAAGAATGTATTGTGATTGAGATATAAATATCAGGAGCGAAATTGAAATTTGTTTTTTCTAGGCATATACGTTTATGCTACAGTTAGTCAGGAAGATATCGGTGAAAACACTTGTTAGCAAGATAGAAAGCAAGAAATTTATAAGTAGAGAACAAGTCATTGAGAAAAGTAAGCTATATGGTTATTCATTAAGCCATGTTTTATACACTCTTATACTCAATTTTACGTTGGTTTCGACCAATTTACAGTGAAGCGACAGGCGGAAGATGCGGATGTAGTTGCTACAACGAGTATCATTTCATTGAAAGATCCCGTAAGTCAGATACGCCAGCTGCGCATATCCAGAACGATTTTGTTTCGTTTAAGATACATTAATTATTGATCATTTTTGACATGCAGCTCTGTCATCTTCGTATGAAGCTTCCTTGCAAATCAGTTCATTGCACTCATATAGAGTGTTTCGATTGTGAGATCTTCTTGAAGATGAATGAACAGACACCTACATGGACGTGTCCAGTGTGCAACAAATCAATAGCATCGTTGGAGGAAATTGTAGTTGATGGGTATGAAACGAACGTCATGACGTAAATACACATCATACGTGGCGATTCTAATTTACTTCTTACACACATTCTTACATACAGATATTTCAAACACATATTACAATCTGTACCAGAAGAACAGGAAACAGTCACAATCGAGCCAGATGGTTTATGGTCAATAGGAAGGCCGTCACCATCAAAGATTACAGCCGTCACCATAAAAAAGGTTACCCAGGAGGAAATCATTATCATAGACGATTCTGACTCTGAAGACACCGATTCCGATTCACCCACGGATACGAACAGATTTCCAGCTGGCAAGGCACAGTTCAGCCGCATGCTTTTGTCCAAGCGCGATCGTCCAGTCGAAATAATCGATCTCACTCTTTCTAGTGATGAAGAAGATACTGACAACTCTGCACCACCATCCTCAAAACGCTTTTGCGCACTTTCAGTAACAACACCACTTCCATCGACAACATCGTCGGTATCGTCGGCAACGTCAGTATCGTCAACAACATCACCGCTTTCGACGTCAACAACACCAACACTTCCGGCAACATCAGCACTTTTATCAGCTGCAACATCAGCTCTCTCACCAACTCTTCCATCAGTGGCAGCGATACTCCCAACAACCGTAAAATTAGAACCACCCAAAGTTCATTCTGCCAATAATTTTCTTCCTTCGCCATCAACTATCGCCTTAGGTAACTTACGGTCTCCATCGCCTAGTGATATGTTCAATCAAATGGATCTTTTTCCGAATGTACCGTGGGATAGTTACAGTAATTTGGGAGATAGAGGGGAGCTAACAATGTTTAATCAAATCCAGATGAACCAGAACGTAATAGAGTACGATGATGATGGTCTGTACAGTCTTTGGCCATGAGTGAATGGAAGGAAGGAAAATGAAGGAGTTGTAAGTGAAGGTGAAAATTAGAAGGGCAAGTGAATTCGAATATGAAGAACAGAGATAATGAGAGGCTGAGAGAGCTGCTATGGAGCTTAACTGCAGGTTTAGTTGAATGGACATTATGAAGGGATTAGGTGGTAGGTTGAATGCTCTAATGAATGATGTGTTAATACATAATGCATGATTCGTTACTTGCTCGCATAACACTCGATTTCTCCTTCGTTTCTTTTCATTATCGCCTTTTTCTTTTCTATCTTTGCAACCATGCACTGTTACTTCTTTTTATGTCTTTCTCATTAATATGGAGCGATAATATATATGTATAATAACATCAGGGGCACTTTTGTAACGTACAAAATAGAGAAGCGCTTTCTTCTCTGCTTGCATTAAATTGCTAATGAACACTGTTTAGTGTGGATTTTTTATTGCTGTAAATGCTAGATACAATACGATTTCATACGAAACCGTGCTATTTGAATATTATATATTGTGATGTTGAAATAACTTACTCAATCTGTATGCGGTTGATCCGTCAGTAATGAATAACAATAAAACAAATAAAATATAAACAAGTAAAGTGAAAATATAAAAGAAACATGAACAAAACTAGAGTACTACATGCAATACATTTCTAAACCTCAAATCCCCTTTGGCTTTCGTTTATTATTTGTTAATTATTTTCTTGCCAGCCTCTCTTTCTATGAACAAGTATATTATGTCAATCTACGTTTACTACTCCACCATTTCGAAATCATCTTCTTGCTCTTCAGTCACGTCAGTTAGTACTGATCCCCGATTGGCGACGCTTCCAGCAATCAGTTGATCTGTTTGTTGATCGTTCATCATATCTTCCTTTTTCTCTCCATCATCGATATGCTCAATTCTCATTTGAAAACTTCCAAATTTATTTATGCTCCCATCGTTCTGTCGTTTATCTTGATAGTTCTCCATCTTTTTTCCGTAATCCCAAAGCTCGTGGTCTTCCCCCAGCATATCGCCTTCTTCGCTTTCACGTGTATTAGCAAATACCGACCCATCCGCCGATGCACTGTCAACTTCAACGTACGAAGACGTATCATGGTTTGATTCCAGTTCGTCGTTCTCAACACCGTCATGATCAGCTATTAATTCAGACAATTCCACTTCAGAGGTATCATCTTCGACATCGAAGAACCAATGATATTGAAGAATGAGATCCTTGACAATAGTTGTCTGCTTTCCAAGATTCCCCATTGATTGAGCGAAACTAGATGGTCCTGGCGGAGCTTTGAGCAGAGTCGGGCCGAAGACTATAGCAAGATTGCTGGCATACATATGATTAATTTCTGAGTAGTCAGTTACTCTTTCGAGATGCTCAATTAGCCGTTTTAGCAGAATGTAGTGGCATCCGGGAAGCCGCTGAAGAAGTGCCTTGATTGCTAGATGGCGTTCATCATAGTCGGATATTCCTACGACACAACATATTATCAGATATAGGCGATTTATACTTGTAATTATATACAATAAAGGATCGAGTAGATATCCTTGCTTACCTATAGCATTGATAAAGTCGTCATAGAGTTCATAGGACATCACTGGTTCAGGCAGACTACGGAAGAATGACTTGAGTGCTCCTGCAACAACATTGATGTCGCCATATTTCTCCACACTCACGTCAACCGTCTCGGCATCTGACAAAAAGAAATGTCAATAATCGAACAAAACGCTGGAAGTAAATATATTACATGAAGATATTTTATAATTTCATTTACTTGTGTTGAAGGCTGATTGAAGACTCTCTACTGCTAGTGCTGCCCCTGGTATTCGGTAAATACCAACTTCTTCGAGGCCTAACATGAAAAAAGGAACAAAGTAAGGCTCAGTCGTTGATATTTAAATACATCAAACGAGTAATTGTGATTATGTATTATTAGCAATAACGTTATTATCGTTTGTAGGTACCTCTTTTCTCTATCTCAGTGAAACACTTTTCAACAATTAATGGCACATTTCCATCCTTCATTAACGTAGCAAGATCCTTTCCATATACTGAATTTCTTGTCTTTGGCTCAGCGTAAGTAGGCTTGTCTTCGTACGTAAGCGACTCAATTGGAATCGTCATTCTCTTTTTCAGTGCTTGATTAGAGGCTTCACTAATAACATGCATCCAATCATTCATCTCCTCTTGATTTATTGCCTGAAGGACATATTGAGCGCCATCCTCAGTTACAATACGAAATACGAAATCTTTCTGAGCTACTCCGTAGTCAACCGATGTTTGGCAATCAATTAGATTAATTACGAGGGCGGCCTTGGGATTAGATTTCCTTTGTTGAGAGTTGTACGACTGCTTAATGCTATGCGAGGATGGATACAAGGTATTAGAAATAGCTAGCGAAAGTGGACGGACAGCCTTTAGCAGACTGTTCACAGGTTTCATTACATAAATATCTTTAAAATGTCTGTCTTTCTTTCTTGTGTCTTCGTTATAAAGCTTAGCTATTCGGTGTTGATTTTCACGAATCTCTTTTGTCAATCGTTCTCTCTCCTTTATATCTCGCCTGATCTTTTCCTGCTGTTCGACAACAAGTTTACAAAACGGTTTGGGGCTCTTGGCCGTCCATTGTGGAAGATTGGCAATGCGTGGGGCAACATTTTCTTTGGTTGCCAAATCCTTAATATGTCGGAGTTCAAATTTTCCTATCCCCGTTGTTACAGCCTTACTAGTAAGATATTGCACGTCCACCTTGGCTTGTCTTTTGTGAATGTTAACGACCAGTTCGCGCTGAGATTGAATGTAAATTTGGATGAGGTTGTGAGCGTATCGTCTTTTATCAAAGTTGACGAGTCTATCAGAGTCAAAAGACATATTCGGAATGTTACAACATATTTCTAACATTCTCTCAAATAACCAGCCAACACATGGAACTAGTGAAATCTCTTCCTCTAACGAATTCTGTTCTGCGGGCTTGGGTGAAAGTCCATATAGCAAAGCTTCCAATGTCTCAAATGTTCCATTTCTATTAACCGCTACTTCAAGCCATGCTCTAGTAAACTGTCTACTTTCCGGACTAATTAAACCTGAAACTATCGCGCTCTCTACGAACGATGGTACGCTTCTTCTTGTGTCGTCATCTTGTTTGGCATTTTCATTCTTTGGATATATCTCTAATCTAACCATTCGTCTTCTACTTAATAGAATCACATCCAAAAACACATCAATTTTCTTGCTTCTTGCTTGTATATCTAATTTTGGTGACGTAACCTCAAAGATAACCCAATTTCTAATAAATGCATGCAATCGGCATAGAGACTGTATTGACCGTGGAAGTAAGTTCACAATGCGCTTGTCACTATCTGTGGAGCTAGCTGTGTCCTCAAGCATTGTAAATATGTCTGTTACTAATATATCTTCTTCTTGTAAGTATGACGCTTGTTTTTTTGGATACCAACCAAGAACATCGGAAGATTGCATTTCCAGTAGTTCATAAGTAAGTATCCAATCAAGACGTGTCACTGTCTGAAATAGTCCAAGAACGGTAAGGTCTATACTCTCTATTAAATCAATAGCATTTGCAGAACTTATGGACAGAACTTGTACATCATCCTTTTGTATATTGCCATCACTCGATACTCGACCATGTGACTGTGAATCTGTTATCACAGCGTCGACGGAAGCTATCAATCGATCGTGTTGAGCATTCCAAATCGGTTCCAAGCACTTTCGCATGGCCTTCATCCTTAGGTCTTTAGAAGATTCTATAACTCGTTTAGATAGGCTAATCAAGTTCTCATCAGCAGCAGCTCGTCCCCAGTCCTCAGTTTCGGCTATAAATTCGTCAATACAGGCCATCATTTTGCTTCGCGTGTCAAAATTATCAAGAAAGTCATTGAAAAATTCCTGAATCCAATATTCAAGCAGCCTCAAAACATTCAACTGAATCTTAGCCACTGTTTTCCAATCATACAAATGCATATTATCTTTCCATTCAATTTCTCGCATGTCAGACGACTGTGGCTCGGGCTCAATTCGCGCTGATTTCTTTGCATTCACAAACCTATTTCTTAGATCCTCTAAAAGATCGTCCGGCTTACAGAAACTTCTATAAGTGGCAAAAAACGTTGCGGTATATTCCTCAGAATCAATACTCAGTTGACCCTGTTTGCCAGTTGCCAATGGTGGTTCTCCATTGTCATCAACTACACTAGTGCTATAAGCGGCTACACCATTTACAAGTACATCTAACAGTCTTCCGAGAGTTCCAGCTTTCACGACCACTAAATGAGCTTCATACTCTGAAAACGCATTGATGTATGATGAAGATATTGCTCCCTGGACCGAATTGCGCTTGGATAAAGCTCCATTATTTGATTGCGGAGGACATTCGACAATACTCGCAGGGCGAGAAACCGAGGCAGTATCTTCTACAGACTTGAATACTAAGTCGCCATCTTTAACAAATATAAGCATTTCATCCACTCCAGCAAGGTCTTTCATTGATTTTAGCAAGTCACTGTCGCCACTACGATTTTGAACAAAATTACCGAGCCATGAACGGGTGACAAGGTCCAAACTGGTATTCCATGTTGTCGAACTTAATTGGCTTATCTTTTCTTGTGGGAACGAAAGCGTACGTCGTCTAATATTATGCGGGCCTGGAACTAATAAATTACCCTGCATCGCTGATGCTTTATCACCTGCTGACCCATTCATTGATCTCCCTGTCTGAAAATTAGGAGAGAACGGGTTTTCGTTAACAGAATTCATTGATGAACTGGATGACTTCCTTCCAATACTCCCGCTCGCACTAAGAAAAGCCTTTCTATCAAACAAGCGATTTGAAGGAATAACTTCAACAAACAACAGCGGCACATAAGCTGAATGATGAACTTTACGTCCGTTCGCTTGATGTTCTAAGTATTGTCCATGAAGAGTAGGTTCGCATTGTATCGAAGATTCGAACACTTGCCAAGTATTCACGGTAGCATGAATGGAGTTCAAATGCTTAAAATATCTTTGAAGAGGTTGTATCAAGGCAAATGGGCACGAGACGCTTACAGAGACATCTGTATCTTTGCATAGATTCCATGCTTCGAGCGCTTTGGTGACAACATCATACATCTTCCAATACTTGTCGAAATTAATAATCCCACTTTCAGCATTTCTTCCTCCACGACCAACATTATTATTCGACCTGTCAATGAATCCGGGAACCGATGAATTGATTCTTTCTAGTGCTATTGTGATGAATCCAAAGTAAGGTATCGGCCTGCTCTTGCTTTTCTCTTTTTTATCTTGTGCAATGAGCAGCAGACTTTGGGTATCATCGGCGTCACAATCACCATCCGGACCACCGTATTCTGATAGTAGCGGGCTCCATTCGTTGACCACCAAGCTCTTACAATACTCATCCACCCGCTCCCAGGTTTCTTTCAATCGAATTATACCAGGTGAACAAATACCAGACGCTACTGCCATCCATCCCGTCATGTCACCAAGCGATTTACATGCTTGACCTGTCTTAATCCAATGAGATATTAAGGCTGGTCGACGAGAGGTATAGCCAGATTGTTGGGAGATGATGAGTATATGATGAAAAATTAGACGAGTAATAAAGTGGGGGGACGATGTTGTGAAATCGAGTAAGCCTTGCAAAGAAGACGGGCGAGGATATTTCGACGGAATGAAATTTTTTAGATTCATGCATGGATCATTACGTCGAAGTTCAAGAAAATGGAATATATAAAGTTGTTGTGCTAATTCATCAGGCGACATTTTTAAGAATAACGCGGGTGTTAGACCAGTTACATTCAAATTCGAGAAATCCAAAGAAGGTTGTGAAGCAATCTGTAAAGGAATGTCTTCGTGATCACCGCTCCGGTTAATTTCCAATGCATTGACTCGAGTGTCCTCGATTAGTTTACTGAGTTCTTCGGCATCTTCATGTTTGTTGATAAGCAAATCGGCTACAATATCTATCATTTCTTTATGAACCTCTTCTCTTGCTAGATCATCGCCACAAATATTGCACCAGGTTCTAAAAATAGTAATTAACCTGGAAGTAATGGAATTCTTGAATACATTTCCATTTTCTTCGTCAGCATATTTCTGTACAATGTCTGAAGCGCAACGACGTAGCTCACGGAATACGTACGAAGCATCCGAGAACAAAGTATACGTTAGGAGAAAAGTACGCAAAAAGTCTTCATTATCTTTAACGTTTCTTTGCGTCTGAAACACAAGTTCATGGATAAGCGAGTCGAGTGAACCACCACTGATATGCCTCTGTGAAATCACTGGTGCAGCGAATGTTTGTGAAGATATGTCTGTGGATTGGGATTCAATTACAGCGATCGAAACCTCTGATTTTTCGGATGTTTCCGTTTTAGCCTCGACTTCCTTTACTACAGACGAATCCTCTGCCTTGTCATCCAGTGTTCCATTGCCATTCGGCATTCCATTATCATCCGGCATTCCATTATCATCCGGCGTTCCGTTGTCATCCAGTGTTCCGTTGTCATCCAGTGTTCCGTTGTCATCCAGTGTTCCCTTGTCCTCTGGTATTCCATTGTCCTCCGGCGTTCCATTATCATCCAGCATTCCCTTGTCCTCTGGCGTTCCATTGTCATCCAGCGTTCCCTTGTCCTCTGCCGTTCCATTATCATCCAGCATTCCCTTGTCCTCCGGCGTTCCATTATCATCCAGCATTCCCTTGTCCTCCGGCGTTCCATTATCATCCAGCATTCCCTTGTCCTCTGGCATTTCATCGTCATCCAGCGTTCCCTTGTCCTCTGGCGTTCCATTGTCATCCAGCGTTCCCTTGTCCTCCTGAATAACCTCACTTGTCTTGATGGGCTGAATCGAATCGTCTTTCTCAGAAACTTGTTGCTCCTCCTCCGTTCTAGTCTCTGCACGTATAAACTTCTCACCTGTCTCAAAAACAACCGATCCGACAGATGATATCGAATCAGCTGTTTCTATTGTCTCAGGTTGAAGTACCTTATTCATCTCTTCGGTTGCTTGCTTCGGTTCAGTGCTTTCGTTCGATTCGGCCGCTGGCATATCATGTATTTCTTGAATAGATTCATTTTCGGAAACAACCTCCACAGAAACAGTGTTTTCACTATCCTTGATAGCTTCTTCTACCTGTATTTGCTTTACAATCAATCCCGGATGTTTGTCTCGACTCCAGTAAGCTCGTGTCTTCTTGTTAGCGCTTATCACATCCGATCTATCAATACAACCGACTGGCTTATCTATTGAATCCCCAGCACGCCTAACACGGCCTAAATTCGCGTCTGTCATGTTCAGTCCAAGCTTGGTCGCAGAGTCACCCCTCGATGATCTTGATTTCATCTCTTTCCTTAGACTTGCTTCCTTGGCAGCAAATAACTTGTTTGTCCATAAAGCTTTGGCTTCGGCACTTGATGGCACAAACACGCGGCAAGTCTGCTGATCACCATCCTCAATTGATAAGTATAATAGCACCCCTGTAGAGGAATTATTTTGTACTGTAGAAATGGCGGATGAACCGGAACGTATGGAAGATGCATCATCATTGGGCCTACTCGGCACGAAATAGTTTTGCTGAGAGGAAGGTGTGATGAAAGAAGAAAAACCAGAAGGAAAGTTTGGGTCTGGGACAACATCGACGCAATGTATTGGATAACAAGCATCGATTTTCCATTTAGTAAAATATCCTTTACTCTTATTATTTCCCGAAGTATCAGTCTCTGATGTAACTCTAACACTATTTATCGACCGTGAATCCCAATCCTTTCCATCAACACTACTAGATGCTAAATTCGTTGAAGAACTATTACCAGATTTGAATACACCCATAGCATCTAACACCTTGACGCTGGTATATCTGACCCATTTGCGTTTACAAATGACTACACTATCCTCGAAAATGAGCAAGCAAACATGTTTTTTGAAATGCATTGCCGCGGTCCGATCTACCTCATAGCATGCTTCTCCATAATAGTAATGATTAATTAGCGGAGTGGAATTATTGGCGGTATTGGTGAAATTTTTGTTGGTGTTGGTGTTATCGTTGTTGATTTTAATATTGCTAATATTGTTGCTGGTATTTGCAGAATTCAACTTGCCCTCGAATATCAAAGCTCTCGCACTAGACTCAAAATTCGTAGGTTGTAAAGCCATGCCACAATCATTTTCCATTTCCGGCGATATAAAAGTAGGATCGTGTCCCGTTAATAAATCTTTATTGTTCTCAAAGAAAGTCTTAAGAACAGCTTCTGATGGCGGTTTATAAAAATACAATTTGTAGCCTCTCAATATTACGCGATATACCCTCCATCCTCTAGATAACGAGGAAGCTTTTGTTCCGGATTCAATTTTTCTATTCAGAAAGCCGTCTTTTGTAGCCGCAATATTTGTTATAGAATTATTTCGTACAATAGAGGGAGCAGCCGTATCAGTCTGTTCAAGTCTGATTGCAGGAACGCCGACTCTTGCATTTTCATTAGATTTACGATGAGAATTTTCAGGGACTATCAAATCATTAACTCGAGGCGTTTCAGACGGTCGACGCTGAGAAATAGTTCCCGTGTCTTTACTTGAGGATGCAGACTGACTCTCGTCACGGAGAGGGGGCTGTACTTGGTTTGGCTCGGGTGAATAGAAGCTTCCCGACGGAAATGGTGGCAGATTGTCTTTGCCATGTCTATTGCCTTTAGCAGCTCGTCTGAGTTTGCTTGTGCCAGCTTTTATGTTATTGCTGATAGCAGTTGGAAGGAAGCGAGGAGCTTTTAGGAGAAGCTCGAATGCGGCACTAGCCTTGTTGGGAGCGGCAATAGTCAGGCTATGCCCGCTTGTTTGACCCTGATGAACCGCTTTTTTTTCAGCTTTCTTATTATTTGCGTGTTCTTTTTCCTTTTTCTTAGATGAAGAGGCTAATCCGAAAGCCTTCATTACAGAGGTATCCTCGAATAATTGTTTCTTCCAAAGCTGGAAAGGTCAGTACCTCTATTGGATAGGTTTTGTTCGGTTTAAAATTACCGTATTCTGGGGGTGGGTGACTTGGGTAATATCATTCAGACAGGGAAGGGAAAGTGGGGGGTGTAAGTAGGAATAAGGAGAATATGAAATAAATATTAATTGTCTTTTTTTTTTGGAATTATTGTTTTCCACTTTCACACACGACCTGACGGAAAGGCCAAAGTGTTGTTGGTGTGGATGTTAGGTTTTGTAAAGATAGGTGAGAAATTAATGTGGTAGTACGGCATGCATAAACAAATTCTAGCCTTTATCGGAGGCTCGCATTTCTACGCTCGTTTTTGGAGAGAGATTAGAGAGTTGGACAAAGGGATTTTTCACGCTTATCGCATCTCAGAGAAGTAACATTGAATAAACATAATCACGCAATCACGCAAGAACTTGTAATGGCATTATCCGAATAAACCGTATATTTTCATTTATTTCCGATACAGGGGACGAACGGTAATAGGCTAAAAGCAATTATGCTTGTCTGACTACTGTAATTAGCAAGAGTTAAGCTAATTATAATGTCACCTGTCCAAAGTATTGGCTGGGTTTAAATGAATTTCTGCACGAAGCATCTCACCACTAAAATATTTACTGTGTATTAATAACCTCATCTACTCGATCCTTATGTATCGAAAACGAAGGAGTTATCCATTTTCCGCAAGAGCATTGCATTCCTTGAGAGTGACGGGAAAAGAAGCTCAACTCAATATTCGATTTTTCTACCCTCTTTTCCAGCTTTTAACACTCACCAGCCCAATTGTAGTTTCCTAATTTTGCTTCACATTTTGGACATATTATCTTTCCATCTAGTTCCTCTTGTCTCCTGGCCGTTATCCATTCCATTGGCTCAATAAAATAAGCTGTACAGACGTTATTTGAGCTTCTTACTGCATTCGTATCGCGCTTCCTGTACGCGAAGGCTGGCTGTCCAACACCTTGTTCATGCTCAACGAAGTAATCACTTGTGACAATTGTACAGCTATAACATAATTCATTTCAATTGTTTGTGATAGTGTAATTCGGAAAAACTTTACAAATCCATTGTAATACTGTCTTACCGGCATCGCTTACATTTTAGTGCTATCGTTGTCGGCTTTATTGGCTCAGAAAGTGCGTTCTCTGCGGTGCTTGCGAGTGGTTTAGCAGCATCTGCAAGCGGTTCTGTAGTGCACGGTGATTAAAAGAGCTTTCAACAACCTGAATTAAACCAAAATTATGATATAGAATTGAATAGGTTTACTTTGTATGTTATCTGTCATGTGGGATTGAATATTACGAAGGTAGCTTGTTCTTGATTAGTATCCATTTTAGTTATTAGCTCGTGACATTGCATATTGTCTACTACGCCCCCTTATTTTGTTGATGACGAAATACACAAGACAAGAATCACCGTCTAGAAAAAAATTGTTTATTAAAGACTCTGGTCAATGGAGTCTATGGCTCGCCACATAGTTTAACGGGAGAGATACTCTCTCGCATAGCGTATTAGCTTCAATGTCTATTCAAAAAAGAGTCTAATTGGAATTCACTACGCACGAAAACTTTTTACGACAGCTGGATCAGCTCTTGGAAATTACCTACACATTACCAAACTGACAAATCAATAAAAAAATTCTTTCATTTACACTAATATTCCTCCATGCATACCCGTTCCTCAGTCCCCATATTATTCAACAATCACTGGCATCCTTAATAAGATGGATAATGGGTCGCCATGTGTACGGGATATCCAGTTGGTGCATATACCATTCCGTTTGCATAATACGCAGGCGCCTTTGCATACCTATCAGGTACTGTACACGCCATGGGAGATATACTTGCACTAGATGAATGATTTGTCGCATAAGCATACAGTTTATGGGCCGGAAGTGTACCAGTAAACGTAACGTCGTGTAAAGGAATCCGCTGAGCTGCTTTCTCAATGTCCTCAAATGACGCCAGAGCTGAAGGAGGTACTTGAGAAACTAGCTTTGACAGACGATCACGAATTTGGAGTGCTGGGAGTGATAAATTACGCATGATTATCATTAGAATAAATGGTCGAGTTAAGCCGATTGACAACAGGAAAGCGTCTTGTCAAATATACCCACCCAGCTCTCTTTCTTCCTTTGATATCCTGTCAGGATTCTTTGTAGAAAACCTCTCATCTTGCATCCGTTGCAAGCTTTTTAGCAAATCAGTATTCTCTTCCAATATCTTTTCCATATCAGGCTGATCACACGTCTAAACATAACAGATATTCAATTAGTCGTTAGATTTACAAAATCAGCAATACTCAGGATATTATATTACCTTTTCCTGCTCTGCATCTTCCGTACCATTAGTGTGAGCCCCGTTAGTTATCGTCTCATTATTATCACTCATCTCCAAATCTGTTCCTCCATCCTGCGGAGCCTCGGTATCTCCCCCGTTGGGTATCTCCTTTAATTCTGAACTAGTGCTCTTTAAGTTATCAGTGTTCGCTTCATCAAGACTATCTTCACAACCTACAGGCGGCGTCGGTGCACTCGTCATAGGACTTGTCAAAGGACTTGAATCACTTGTTAGACTATTTGTGCTGTCCGATACTATATCCTGATTGATTTCGTTCTGATGGCCATTAAGCATCTTTATTCTCTTTCGCTTACGACTCGAGCGCAATATCATTGACTCTTCAAATGTGACTGTTGCATATTCTGAATCAAAAGTTGGTGCAAACGAAGAATATGGTCCGTAATCAAGCTGTTGCACTATACACAATATTAGAATAAAGGTCAGGCTACGTTTGCTTTTCTCATTCGTCAGTACACTATTACCGTACACTTCACCGTTTCTGTCTACATACTGATCTACATACCTCCAATTAAATAGTCTGCTTTATTCTGCTTATATATATCATTCTCAGAATCAGAACAAAGAGTCCCCAACTTGGGTACTTCAAACAAACCCGGTTGCGAAACTATAGCCAACTCTTTGACATCTCCTGTCAACTTCAACGGAGTTACGTCGAATCGACTACGTTTTCGTGTACCAGAGAAGACGAAACCATCGTGTATGCGTTGGAATAAGGCAAGCTTTTGTGGTCTTCTTGGAAGACTCATCTTATTGCAATGCTTGGGAAGAAATCAATATACTATTGCCAACTATAAGCTAGCAACGAAGACAATCTAGCTGTGCAAAAACTATTAAACGTTAAAAAATTAAAACTCGCGGTAGTAGTGAGCAAATCACAGATAATTGTCTTCAGCATCAGGCACGTGATATTGAAACGCGTAAATAGTCACAAGAAATGTGAATTATTATTATGCGTCCTTCGGAAAGCAACTGTATATACTCTGTTAATTACACCTTTACTCATAATACTTTATTAACTAATGTACAGACAATCTCCAGTCACACGTGAATCTCTCCCTAGCTTATTCTTTAAGCCCACTGACCGTAGTGTCTTAAACGACTATGAGTCAATAGTGAATATTGACGATACATATTTGGACGCTGCAAATTATCTCCATAATACTGTTTACGAGAATCAGGCCAATATTCCAGAGCACGAAAAGTGGCAAATTGTATGTAAACGTAGTCTATATGTATTGTACAATTATAACCGGACATAAACATTCGCCATTACGATAGATCGACCAATGGTTGAATGATCTTTACAAAGATACGCCACTGCCACTGTTTGAGAGAAACCCAGATACCGCCGCTGCATTGTATGAGATGGCGCTCTTTAATAAAGAACAAGATGCTGCGGCCGAGTTAGTGAGGGAGAACCGAACGATGCACCGTATTGAATACGTTGAAGAAGGTATCATCATTGGTACATTCTTTTTTATTTTTTGGTTTCAGAACACGGCTAAGTTGTTTTCTATATTGACGTAGATAAACGTTTGCAAGAAATATTAAAAGTGATTGGTATATCTAAAAATGATTTATCTAAAAACGGCGAATGTGCCATACGAACATTGTCTTCATTGGCAATTACACTTGGTTTGGGTGATGTTGAACAAAGCAGGTAAATAATTAGATTTACTTACATATGAGGATCAAAATTGTCTTATGATTGATGGTTTGCTGTTTCCAGTTACTTCCGAGCCCTGGCACAACTAAATATCGATTCTGAAAGAACACAACGAAGTCGAAATATGACAAAACGTACGATCGAAGAATTTGAGAATCAGATCCAAGAGGCCAGTTTACGGCTTGAGAGATTGAACACGTTCGTTTTTATTGTTTTATCCTATCTGTCATAGTCAAATAATGAGCGTACGATGGATTCGCGATCCTACATTTAAAATGAATAGGCTAACATCGAACCTTAGAAATAAATGGGATTTTGTTGAAGAACAAAAGCTCAAGGAATGGAAAAAGAATTCTTGCCTTTTAACTCGGAAGTCATGTGAATATGGTAACCGGCTACTGCATCTTCAGGTATGAAATTGATGGATCGGCTTTTGTTTTTTACACGATACAATTTGTATATAACATTATAATGCTTTAAAGAAACAATACGAGTCGATGGGTGTTGAAGAAGGAGGACTACGAATAGAAAATTTGAAGCAGATAGAAAAGAACGTTGAAGCTTTAGGAGAGTTATTGGAGACAAAACGACAAAAGCTGCAAATATACCAAGAAATGCCACCAGTAAGTTCGAAAAATATAATTATTGCCATGTATGGAAATGTGAACTAGAATTTCATCTTTAATTTAGGACTTACAAATGGCACAACTTAAATTGGACCACGCAAGAGAAGCGCTTGTATGTCAACTCTACTATATACAGCGTATTGAGTTTCGAATCATGAATGTTCGTAGTTCTATAACTTACGCATCCTCGTTCAATTATAGGTTGAACTTCGAGAGACTGAAGCAGAATTGGCCGAAGCTATCGCAGAGACAGTTCAATGAATTGCGAGTATCTAGGTAGATCACAACAACACAAACAATAATATCAACAACAACAACAACAACAACGACGGCGACGACGACCGGCAATAACAAGAATAACAGCAAGAGCATCATAAAAGGACAGCTGTGTTTACATGATAATTATCACTATCATGACTATTTAACACAAACAATGTTTGTCCATTGTCAATTTGTTAGATCCTTGCTACTTTCGTATGATCTTCTCTTATCATCCCTTCCCATACAATGTGTATCCATGATTTAATAATTTAGATGGTAGAGGAGTAACTCTCCCAAATGGCTGCTTCTTCAATATGGAGACAAACTGATTAAATAAATGTTTACTATCCTCATTAATAAATGTAACGGCCCACCCTTGATTTCCATACTTTGCAGCTCGCCCCACTTGGTGAACGTATTCTTCTACAGATACTGCCATATCGAACAAAACAATCATGCGCACATCCAAGTTCAATCCTCTGCTCAGTACTCCGGTTGCAACAAGAACCTCATACTCGCCATTAACAAATGCATCAAGTATACGCGAACGCTCCTCTTGATTTTTGTCACCATGAATACTGGCAACGCTCGCACCACATTTCTTTTCTATTGCACCAGCCAAGAGATCTGCACCCAATTTTGATTCAACAAAGACAATTATGGGGGGGCGCCAGTACTTGGAATCATTAAAAAGAGAGAAAAGTTGTTTCTTTTTGGAACTGTTCTCTACCCAAAGTATTGTTTGTTTTACAGGAATTTCTGGTATGGTTATGACTTTTGAGGATATATTGTTTGATTTGTCAGCGACGTCATGCTTAGTCTCTAAAAAGTGCCCAACGGAAATGGTAATAGGATCCCTAAGAATCTTATTAGCGAGCGATTGGATATTCTTTGGCATAGTAGCAGAAAACATAAATGTCTGCCTTCTTGTCGAATTCTCAGGTACCGGCAAACTCTCCATAATCTCCATAACTTGTTCTTCGAATCCCATTTTCAACATCATATCCACCTCATCCAACACAATCATGCGAATGTTGCTCATATCTATCTCTTCGCATTGCCTAATAATCTCCAACAATCTTCCAGGCGTGGCAACAGCAATTTGTGCGCCCTGCTTCAACCGGTATGCCTGATTAGGTAAGGGCAACCCACCTACCAACAATGCCGTCTTCATCAAAGTAAGACCAGAAATCATCTTCTTTGTCTGAGTTTCTATCTGCGAACACAATTCCCTTGTTGGCGCCATAACTAGAGCGTATGGACCACCTTTTCCATTATAAAACTGTGACAAGGCCCAGGTATGTACGATCAACGGAAGCAAAAAGCTTGCAGTCTTGCCTGACGATGTGCTAGAGCTCGCGAGAATATCTCGTCCAGCCAGACCGGCAGGAATAGCCTGCATTTGAATTGGCGTTGGTTGATCATATCCCACACGCTGTAGATTATCGTGCAACTTTGATGGGAATTCACAATGAGTGAAGGATAATATTGGTCGAGGAATGTTTCTGCCAATTGCGGTTATCCCGTGTCTAGTGAGAATAGTCGTTAATTGTGTGGGAGAAAGAGAGGCGATTTCGGCGTGTGGAGTGTACTGAATTAGTTGCGGATGGAATAAATCGGATGGTATTAGTAAGGGTTGAGGTATGGGTGGTTGAGTAGGTGAATAAGTTGGGACTGTCTGTAGTGAAGTCCCGACTACTAGTGATCTTTGGTGCTGGTGCACTGTCACGGATATATCTTTTTCATTTGTGAGATCAGCTTTCTGCGCTGGTGAATAACTAGCGTTTATATGGTCGTCTTCGGTATGTTCAGTGATCAAGTCACTTTTTTCACTTTCACCTTTGCTCGCCTCAGCATGTGTGGTTGTCGTTATATTATTATTATTATCGATATTTTCATCTTTTCCAGTCTTTGAATTACCGTTAAATGTCGTGGCATTAAGTCGGCCCGCTGTGTTTGCTCGTTTTGCCGTACTAGCAGGACCCGAACTCGGTCGTTTCAGTGTCCTGGGAACAAACATCGATGAGAAATTCGATAAATTTTCTGGATCCATATTTGCAGAACAAAGGAGGTCGCGGGTTGCATTGACCTAAATTTAGCAATTTGCTTTTGCATTAGCGAATAGTAAAGTCACATGAACTGAGTTTTGAAAATAAGCGTCTTTACGTGATAATGTTGTCAAAATCTGTGAATTCAACTTATGCCCTTAAAATTAAATGCCGAAAAGAAAGCCTGCTCATGCTCCTGCGTTACCATGAAAAGGAAGCAAAAGCGAATAGATAAAACTGAACCAAAAGCCAAATCAACCTGCAACTTTTTGTATGCCAGTAAACGTTCGGTATTCTTGTTTAGTACTGGGCCAAGTTTCCCAATTAATCTCGTTGTGCTGGATAATGTTTTTATTATTATTGTTGTTGTTGTTGTTTGTTGTTTTGTTGTTGTTATCATTATTATTATTATTATTATTATTATTATTATTACTATGGATAGTCAAGTGTAGTTACAGGCTGTAGAAAAACATATCCCAATAATTGCCCATGTTAAAGACAGCTGGATGCAAGTTAGCATTTTTAATGAGACTTCCCTCACACTTAGGCAGAAATATTTTGCTGTTAATCGATAACGCGCCTGTACATATTATCTTTGGGCAAACTACAGAAAGCTGGATAGCATAAAGGTAAACTGCTTTCACTAAATATCTTCAGCCGGGATTATCCATTCATTTAAATCAAAGCATACGATGATTTTCAAGATGTCATCGCATACTGATTATACAATATACGATGCTTTATAATCTAATGTATCACCGGGGAATTATGAAGTCCCGCAAAGCAAGATCCATTAATCATTATGTTTGCCACCAACTCACCGCGCATTTCACAATGCATTTTCTGACACAAAATACATTCAGGTAGAACGCGATGTGAGATACAAACAGTACAAATTGTTGGTTGTCGAACGATGATCAGTATCTAAAAACTTAGAGCAACGGGTTTAGCGTACCCGGACTCTACAACAATACGACGAAGATAGTGGTAATATTGACTTTGGCTGCAAAATGGCAGTTGTAATATCGACACGGTAAATTATAAGAGAATAATTCGTAAGCGAATGTATAGACACCCCTAAGATAGTCTCATTTATGTCAATAAACTATGGCTGCTCTTAAATAGTCCCTGTCTCTCCGATAAGTTTCATCCCACTTTTTGCAAGGTCTTCTCGTCCATTGATCGTCAATAACTGGGGGAAAAAATATTCAAGTTGTGGTGTATAATAACTATCAACACAATTCACGATAGCATGCAAGTTTTGCTATAGCACAGACCTCCAAGAACTTTTTTTTAGATTCACGGTTATCGAACACGTTGAGGAAAAATGCCATCTAAATGGTGGAACGAAAATTGTATAATTAATGTCGGTTCATACCAACATGTCATATCAGAATATGTGCTTACTTTATTATCAAATATATCCAAGTTTGGGTGACTGTCAATATACTTTTTGATAAGATCCAATCTCTCACGATCTAACCTAGCAGCCTTCAGTTCATCTAACAGGTCATGCTCGTGAAGTCTAGGGTTCGGTGCTAAAGGAAGACCCTATGAACAACTCAAATGCATAAGTCTAATTACCTGCAAGCAAACAACAATATGTTCGTTATCAATACCTTCTTCCGTAATCGTATCCACCGTCTTCGACGGACAAAAGAACGAAATGGTTTACAAATGCCTAATTCTCGCATAGGTGAGTCGATTTGTACGCGAAAAAAAAAAGCTTACAATTTTAGCTAATAATAAAGCATACCGTGCCAGCTGTAGCCACGGAAATTAAATGAATACTCCCAGCCACCTATGTGCAGTCAATGTAAGCCTGTCTTTAATTGTTCAATATGTTAACAGAATCGTAGCCCAACAATATACCTCGTAATACCTTCGTCAACGTCCCCAGACATGTCTATTAACCACAGTTTATGGACCTTAATATAAAACCATTCAATAAGTTATGCAGTACGTTCGTTTCCGAATGAAATAGTCTCCGCATTACCCATTCCCAAGTCGGATCTGGCAATGGTGTATCGTAAACATTGGTTTGAGACGGGCTAATGCGATAAGAGGGTATTGTTAAAAGTCTATTTGACCAGAGACATAAAACACGATAATTAGTAAATTCCTTACCAGCCATGACGATCTGTCCATGGTGCAGGATCTAACTGATTCAAAACATTTGAACTGAACCTTGGTTTGCCAATGAAGAAAAATCTGTACCGCAAATCGAAAAGAATTAATAGCATAGAACACTGGTAATTTAAGAAGGAATCATTAGAGCTTACCCCCTCTGATTTTGGCATAGCACGTCGTATTCGTAATCATTTTCCTGTTTAGAAGTTGTTTCTATTGTGCCTGGCGGTTCCCCGCTTGTCTAAGAAAGCAAATCGAAGTAAGAGACCTACACTTATGTACACGGATCCGCACAAAAAGGTAGTTTACCGCTGGTTGTCTTGTTATGGTTATTACATCCTCGCTCATCATAACCAACTGATATGTCAGGAAAATTCGCAAAGGTTGAAAACCAAATAACGATAATAATATTGTCACATGAAGAAAATCTTATCCAATAAGGAACGGATACAAAAATCAGTCTCACAGTCATGTGAATGATTGCCATTAAATTATTATCAGCCAAAGAAATACACTGGATATAACGATATCTCAATATAACTCTAACGATGAAATTTGTCATTACCAAAACGTTCTTATTTAATTTTACGATTTTACTATTAAAACCTCGTTATTACATATAACGATACGTATACGATGTACCAACTATTGTAGCAATATATTTT